TGATACTGCCTCGGAAACCCAAGGAGGGGTCGCTATGAGTCGGGGCCGACTCGACGGCACATAACAACAACAACAACAAGTTTACAAATGAAGAAACTAAAGAGGTTAAGGATTTCAACCGAGGCAGGCTGAACCCAAGAGCCAGGCTGTCAGCCATTAGGCCGCCCACCTGCTCTCGTCTCCCCTCCAGGGAAAACCACCCACCAAGAAGGCCAAAGTCCTGCACAAGGCCGCCTGGTCGGCGAAGATCGGAGCCTTCCTCCACTCCCAGGGGACTGGACAGCTAGCAGATGGGACGCCAACTGGACAGGATGGTGAGACAGTAGGAGCATGCTGCTCTGGAAGCTGGAGTGGGGTGGGGACTAGGGTGGCCTTCCAAGGAGCAGGGCTGGGCACCATGACCAGCGGGAGGCCTAGAAAGTGCCCGCCCCTCCTAGTGTGGCTCGCAGCTTGCTCTCCTGTTGGGTCCTGGAGCCCCTCACCCACTGTGACATTGCCAGGGCCCCTACCCTTGATGACCCACGAGCCCAGATTTGCTTGTGTTCCCCTTTGCTTCGCTCCCTGGCACTTCTGGTTCCTTGGGACAGAAGAGGGGGTGGGGAGAAGAGGAGTGGGAAAAGGAGAAGGATCCTGAAGAAGCAGGTTTTAAGCCAATTAAGCATAGGCCTGAAGCATCTGTGAGCCCCTCAGTGGTGGTGGCTGGCGAGCCCCAGCCTGAGCACCTCCCACAGGGTCAGACTGGGTGTGGCCAATGGGAGGTCGGGAGAGGTCTGAGGAATTTAAGCCTTAGGGGCTTTGCGCTTCCCTCTTCCCAAGTCTGCAGGCAGCCTTTAGATCTGCTGCTCATAGGTCTCAATGGCTGCTGGTGGGGCAGGTATGGGGGCCTGAGAGGCTGCTGGGGGTGGGGAAGGGCCCCACTTCTGCAGGCCTTGCAGGGGCCTCGGCCTCTCTCCTCTCCCTGCCCCGCAGCTCTGGTCTTGGGCTTCGACTGGGGGAAGTTCCTGAAGGAGCACAGTTACAAGGCTGCTCCTGTCAGCTGCTTCAAACACGTGAGTTCCTGGCGGGGGGCGGGGGGGGGGCTGGGCAGGGGCTGCTGGTTTGGGCCCTCAGGCTGAGCTCACCCACTCTGGAGCTGCCTCCAGCAGGCGTCTGGGCGGAGAAGCCCACGATTGCCACCGCCTCTGCTTGACGGGCCCACAAGGTCCTCCCTCAGTCACTTTCTGCTGCTTCTCTCTGAGGCCCCGCCTTTGCTTAGTCGCATCTTGGAACTTTGTGCCCCTTGATCTTTCTAAGGGTCCTTCCAACTCAGATAACCCCTTGTTCCTCCTTCCCCACATTTTGAGTATTTTCCCTGAAAGCCTAGGACTTCTGTACTGGGCTAGGCCCCTTGGCCCCCAACAGGCAGATGATGGTAGCTGCTGGAGCTAGCATTGAGAAACCTGGAGGGCTGGGTAGAGTGGAAGGACTTAGACCTGCTTCCCTGTGCTCCGGCTTTGTCTTTCAAACCGGTTTCCTAAACCCCAGGAAGTGAGGAGGAGGCCTCTGGTCCAGGAAGCCAGCCCCTAGCCTCTCCTGAACTGGGGGAGAGCCTGAACTGGGAACAGCTGGTGCTTAACTCCTTAACTCCGGCCCCTGGCCTCTCCTCCTTTGAGTTGCTAATGAAGATACACAACTTTCCTAGTGGAGAACCCTTGTTTGCCCTGGGCTCCCTGGGGGCCTATTCAGGGGACTTACCTCCTACGTGCATTTAACACAGAAGATTCTATGTGCTCTGTGAAGAACCCATGTCCTGTGAGCAGTTCTAGATTCTGTGAAGAACCAGCCTCTGTAGCTGGGGGATGGGATGGGGAACATGACTGAGCATGACAGAAAGGAGCGCCCAGGTGCAGAGTGGGGATTAAAGAGCCCCCTGCCACAGGGTGGCACTGCAGTAGAGGTGGCCAGAGAGCGGGCAGGGGCAACAGTTATGGGGGCAGCTTGGTGATCCTGTGTAGTGAAGGGTAACAGCGTGGGCCGCACAGGTGTGAAGATTGAAGGAGGTGGCGTTTGTGCTGAGACAGTGTCTGGCACTTGTAAGCCCTAGACCGCGTTCAGCATTGCTACCGTAATAACGTGGGACAGGGGGGTTGAGGCTTGCCAAGGCGGTAATTTGCCCAGGTTCATGTAGCTCATAGCTGGTCCTGTAAAGATCAGAACTTGGGCAATCTGACCCCAGCCCTTGACCAGCACTCCCAGGGGATGTGAAGAGATGGGGTGCACGGGCGAGGAGGCCATGACTCACCAGGCTGCACGGTCAGCCACTCGGTGCCAGGCCAGCCGGCTCTCCCACCACGACTCTTGTCCCCACAGGTCCCGCTCTATGACCAGTGGGAGGACGTGGTGAAAGGGATGAAGGTGGAGGTGCTCAACAGTGATGCTGTGCTCCCCAGCCGGGTCTACTGGATTGCCTCTGTCATCCAGGCAGCGGGTAGGCCTCGCAGGGCAGGGAGGGGGCGGGGTCTACTGGATTGCCTCTGTCATCCAGGC